ACCTGCCCCCTCCCAGGATCCTCCCCCTGCCCCCAGAGGGAAGCCACCACACTCCTCCTTCAGGGCCAATGCCCCCTCCCCCAGCACGCAACAGAGCTGTGGGAGGGGAGCAGCCCGCGCACTTCTGGAACTCCCAGAAGTGACGTGGGCTTCAGACAGGACTTCCATCCACCCCACAGGAAACTGGCACTACAGTAGAGGGAGGTAGTGGGACTTCTCGGGGGTGGAGGGAAAATGGGGAGTGGGGTTGCCCGAACGCCTCGCGATCGACTGGTCGAGGCCTCGCGATCGACCGGTTGGTGACCACCGTTATAGACTAACAGGTGTGTTGGAGCATAAGCTTTCGTGAGCAAAGACCCACTTCATCAGATGACATGGATCTGACGAAGTGGGTCTTTGCCCACGAAAGCTTATGCTCCAATACATCTGTTAGTCTAGAAGGTGCCACAGGACTCCTTGTCGCTTTTGCAGATCCAGACTAACATGGCTACCCCTCTGATACTTTATTTACTGTAGAGGTTAATTCTGGTCCTTGGAGTCAGGAAGAGACACGGAAACTTCTTCAAGCTGTGGAGGAGACTATTCGGAAGAGGGCTGATTTGAAAGACATAGGATTGTTGCTACAGGCAGAGAACTCAGATGGAACTCTCTCAGTTGAACGTGAACAACTCTACAAGAACGTACCTTGGACTGAGATAGAAGCTAAAGTGGGAACCAGATATTGGAGACAGTGTAAACAGAAATGGTAAGATTTATTTTGGGCGTGGACGTTAATACATACTTCCAAAGTTACTTCTCACTTTCCTGTTCCCTTTGCCCAAGGTAGATGTACTGTGGCATAGGTACGCATGATTAAACAACTGATAATAGTAGATAAGTGTTGCGTCAAGTGGCTTAAAAAGACGTTTTTTTAGTTCAACTTGTGTACAACTTATGGCCCCAGTTCTGCAAAATAGGGATGTTAAAATGTGTTTAATTAAGTAACTATAATTGCTGAAAATGTCAGCGGTTATACACGGGATGGCAGGTAGCTCCCTGGGAGCTGGTGCATGTGGGGAACTGGCTCTCGCCTGCCCTCCCCTTACCCCACTCCCACTGCTGCCTCTAACACAGAGGCAGCAGCCTGGGTATTGGGAAAGGGGCATTTCCCTGGGCTTTTAGACCAGCTCCCCACAGATACCAGGAGCCTGCGTGTAACCATGAAGGTTAACCGATGATGCCAGGCTCATCAATTAACCATGTACTGTACACGGTTACACTTTCACATTCTCATGTCTTTGCAGTAGGGATGTAAGTAACCGGAAGTGGGGTTGCTTTAGAACATAAGAATGGCCATACTTGGTCAGACCAAAGGTCCATCCAGCCCAGTATCCTGTCTGCCGACAGTGGCCAATGCCAGGTGTCCCAGAGGGAGAGAACTGAACAGGTAATGATCAAGCGTTCTCTCTCCTGCCATCCATCTCCACCCTCTGACAAACAGAGGCTAGGGACACCATTCCTTACCCATCCCGGCTAATAGCCATTAATGGACTTAACTTCCATGAATGTATCTAGTTCTCTTTTAAACCCTGTTATAGTCCTAGCCTACACAACCTCTTCAGGCAAGGAGTTCCACAGAATGACTATGTGCTGTGTGAAGAACTTCCTTTTATTTATTTTAAACCTGCTGCCCATTAGTTTCATTTGGTGGCTCCTAGTTCTTCTATTATGAGAACAAGTAAATAACTTTTCCTTATTCACTTTCTCCACATCACTCACGATTTTATAGACCTCTAGCCTATCCCCCCCTTAGTCTCTTCTTTTCCAAGCTGAAAAGTCCTAGTCTCTTTAATCTCTCTTCATATTGGACCCATTCGAAACCCCTAATCATTTTAGTTGCCCTTCTCTGAACCTTTTCTAATACTAGTATATCTATTTTGAGATGAGGAGACCACATATGTACACAGTATTCAAGATGTGGGCATACCATAGATTTATATAAAGGCAACAAGATGAGCCTATGGGAAATTTCAAAAGAGTTGCCAAGTGTGTCCCCAGGTGGCTCTGCTCTCCCTCCTCCCCCTGTTTTTGAATTGCCTTGGGTCACCAAGTCTTTCTGAATTTCCCGTCTGGAAAAGTTTAGGAACAGCTGAGGGCAATAAGATATTCTCCATCTTATTCTCTATCCCTTTTTTAATGATTCCTAACATCCTGTTTGCTTTTTTGACTGCCGCTGCACAAAATGTGGACATCTTTAGAGAACGATGCACGATGACTCCAAGATCTCTTTCCTGATTAGTTGTAGCTAAATTAGCCCCTATCATATTATATGTATAGTTGGGGTTATTTTTTCCAATGTGCATTACTTTACATTTATCCACATTAAATTTCATTTGCCATTTTGCTGCCTAGTTTTGTGAGATCTTTTTGAAGCTCTTCACAGTCTGCTTTGGTCTTAACTACCTTGAGCAGTTTAGTATTGTCTGCAAACTTTGTCACCTCTCTGTTTATCCCTTTCTCCAGATCGTTTATGAATACGTTGAATAGGATTGGTCCTAGGACTGACCCTTGGGGAACACCACTACTTGTTCACATGTTTGTTGACCCCTTCAAAGAACTCTGAGGGTACGTCTTTGAAAAGTGTCCATACAGCTTGCAGGGATTTTATTTTAGTCACTCTACCTTTTAATTTCTGTTTAACTAACCTCCTCATTTTTGCATAGTTTCCCTTTTTGAAATTAAATGCCACATTGTTGGGCTACTGAGTTGTTCTTCCCTCTATAGGAATGTTAAATGTTGTTATATTATGGTCACTATTTCCAAGTAGTCCTGTTATAGTTACCTCTTGGACTAGATCCTGCGAGCCACTCAGGACTAAATCGAGATTTGCCTCTCCCCTCGTGGGTTCCTGTACCAGCTGCTCCAAAAAGCAGTCGTTTAAGATATCAAGAAATTTTGTCTTTGCATCTTGTTCTGAGGTGACATGTACCCAGTCAGTATGGGGATAGTTGAAATCCCCCACTATTATTGAGTTCTTTATTTTGATAGCCTCTCTAATCTCTCTTAGCATTTCATAGTCACTATTACTGTCCTGGTCAGGTAGTCAATAATAGATCCCTACTGTTATATTCTTATTAGAGCAGGGAATTTACTATCCATAGAGATTCTATGGAACATGTTGATTCATTTAAGATTTCTACTTCATTTGATTCTAAATTTTCTTTCACATATAGTGCCACTCCCCCACCCTCATGACCTGTTCTGTCCTTCCGATATATTTTGTACCCTGGAATGATTGTGTCCCATTGATTGTCCTGGCTCCACCAGGTTTCTGTGATGCCTATTATATCAGTATCCTCCTTTAACATGAGGCACTCTAGTTCATCCATCTTATTTTTTAGATTTCTGGCATTTGTGTACAGGCACTTTAAAAACTTGTCACTGTTTGTCTGCCCTTTTCTGATGTGTCAGATTCTTTATGTGAATGTTTTTCTTCTGATCTGGCCCATACTTTATCCTCTTCCATCCTTTCCTCATGACTAAAACCTAGAGAATCTCTATCAATAGACTCTCCTCCAAGAGACATCTCTGTCCGATCCATGTGCTCCTCTGCATCAATCGGCTTTCCCCCATTTTTTAGTTTAAAAACTACTCTGTGACCTTTTTATGTTAAGTGCCAGCAGTCTGGATCCACTTTGGTTTAGGTGGAGCCTGTTCTTCCTATATAGGCTCCCCCTATCCCAAAAGTTTCCCCAGTTCCTTATAAATCTAAACCCCTCCTCCCTACACCATTGTCTCATCCACGCATTGAGACTCTGAAGCTCTGCCTGCCTACCTGGCCCTACATGTGGAACTGAAAGCATTTCTGAGAATGCCACCATAGAGGTCCTGGATTTCAGTCTCTTTCCTAGCAGCCTAAATTTGGCCTCCAGGATGTCTCTGCTATCCTTCCCTATGTCATTGGTACCTACATGTACCACGACCACTGGCTCCTCCCCAGCACTATACATAAGTCTATCTAGATGCCTCGATAGATCTGCAACCTTTGCACCAGGCAGGCAAGTCACCATACTGTTCTCCCGGTCATTGCAAACCCAGCTATCTACATTTCTAATGATCAAATCTCCCATTACTAACACCTGCCTTTTTTCCTAATGATTGGAGTTCCCTCCCCTGGAGAGGTAACCTCAGTGTGAGAGGATACCTCAACATCTGGAAGGAGGGTCCCAACTATGGGAAGGTTTCCCTCTGCTCCCATTGACTGCTCTCCTTCCCTGAGCCTTTCATCCTCCTTAACAGCGCAGGGGCTGTCTGACTGGAGGTGGGACAATTCTACACTGTCCTGGAAAGCCTCATCTACATACTTCTCCGCCTCCTTCAGTTCCTCCAGTTCAGCCACCCTGGCCTCCAAAGCCCATACGCCAGTGGTTCTCCACTCATTTCAGTTCACAGACCACCAGGCCAATCAAAAAATTTTCATGGACCACCTCCAGCACATGTAGCACAGGACGAACGACACAGCAACCGCTCAGCACGACGGCGGCAGCTACACTGACGCTCAGAGCCTCAGACGGAAGTTACTGGCAACACAATGCGGGTGCGTCCTAGGTGACACTATAGATGACGTGCTGCGTGCTAGTGAACACGGCGTAAAACAGCCTTACGGCAGCGTCTCCTCATGCTGTGTGACTTTGGACAGTGTTGCTGTGGTCCACCGAAAAAGTCTCCATGGACAAGCAGTTGAGAACCACAGCCATATGCGATCTCTGAGGGCCAGGAGCTCCTTGCACCGAATGCACACATATGCCACCCTCCCATAGGGCAGGTAATCATACATGCTACACTGAGTGCAATAAACAGGATAGCCCCCACTCTGCTGCTGGGCTTCTGCCTGCATTCTTTCCTACAGCTACCTAGGTTATTGATAGGGTTTCTAGTTAACTTTCATGCATAAAGTTACACACATACTTAGGTCTTTGCATGATCTAGGCTTATTCTGTTGTGTGACAGTGTGGTGTTACATATTATGAAAGTAAAAGTTGTAAGAAACGGGCTCTAGAACCGAAGTTTGTCCTCATACTAGTGCAAATCTGTTGTAATTATACTATAGTGAGTGGAATTTAGGGGTGTAACTGTTTAAATTGTTAACTGATAAGCATGAGATTATCAATTACCATAATGATTACACTCCGACTTCCAACCCTGTTCCTGGAGAGCTGGCTGCCACCCCACGCTGCTGGCTCTGTATTGGAGCCTGAAGCGCATGAGGGCAGCTGACTCCCTGGAAACAGGGCCATGGGCTGTGGGAGATGGCTCCCTAGAAGAAAGGTGGGAGGCAGGAGCCAGTGCATGCTGAGAGCTGGCACTGGCTCCCAGGGAGCTGACTGCTACTCTGCGCTGTTGCCTTTGATACAGAGGCAGCATTGCAGGACAACTGCCAGCTCTCCAGGATTGGGGCAGCAGGCGTGAGCTAGTACACACCAGTAATCTGCTTAAAAGCCAGCGCCCTGCACATAGCAGCTCCCAGGAAGCCAGCTGCTGCCCGAGTTGTAGGCTCTGCAGTATAAAACTTATATTGCAAAGCCGGCAGCACAGCTGACACCCCAGGAGCAGGACAGGTAGTTGAGCATCAGCTCCCAGCACACACTGGCTCCCGGCCCCACCCCCAAGAAGCTCACAGAATGTAACCACTCAGACTCTTTTTTAACAGTTACTTAATTAACCACTTTTTAACATCCCTAGTGGAATTACACAGACACGACAAGAAATTCAAGACCTTAGATTTGAATGTTGCATTAGACTGGGCCTCTTGGATAGTTTTATTTACAGAAGATGTTAGCAAACTTATAAAACACAATAAAACTATTGGAAGGTGAGGGGAAAGGGTTTTACAGGAGAGAAAAAAGCTATAGGGCCATATAAGACAATTAACAAAATAATTCTCTAATTTGGGCAACAAAAGTTGATTTTTTTTCACTGACATAGGAAAATGCTCATTTCTTACCTTTGTTTTCCCCAGGATTTCAATTGTAACCAAGAAAATGTCCAATGGGCAGAAGCTATATAGTGGGGCTAAAGGTTTACAGGCCAAAATCAATCTTATTAAGAGGTATGGATCACATTTGTGGAGTGTTCTGTGTTTTTTGTCTTGGAATCATGGGTTATGTCCTGGTTGATAAGAACTTACTATTAAAATAAAAATCTGGAGTATATGTAAAGGAAAAGTGGGATGTTTCTGGGTTGTTAAACTGAAAGGACAGTAAACTCCATGGTGTTGTATTCCCTTGTTAGGTTTCTGTACAGGCATTTTGTAACAGAAAAACAGTTACAAAGCACCCTAATAATGATCCTGGGGACTTAATGTGTCTTGGCTGTTTAAAAACAGTACTTCAGTACTCAACAGAGCTGTTCCTTGTGTGTGTTCAAATTCATATTTGTTCTCCATTTCTTTTTATTCTTGTTAAGGCTACAGAGCCAGCACAGCTGATATTGAGCAAGTAGTATGTTTCTTTCCATCGTGTGCATCATCAGGAAAATTATTTGCATTCCAGTCAGTAATAACTGTGTAATCCAGTTGCCTTCCCTGGTTTTGCAACAAGGGAATGAGAGCATGACCTGAAGACAGACAGTTGCATGCATGTTAAGTTTTATTAAGAATCTGATTTGGCTTGCAATACCTTTATCTACCGGTAATGAAGCATGAGATGGAAAGAGCGTAGGCTGAATCTTCACGGCTGGTACTTAAAGCATGTTTTGATTACAAGAGTAAAAACATTTTTCTCTATCTGGAAAATGTCAGCCCAAATAGATTAAACTTTCAGAAAGATATGAGCAGTTCATAATAAGGATTTTAATTTAGGGATGTTAAAGGTTAACTGGTTAACTCGTAAGCATTTAGTGGTTAACCGGTGGGGGCTGGAGTAGCTTCCTGCCCACTGTGGGCAAGGGTCTGTTTCAGCGCTGTGGGGCCTTCTATGGACAGGAGCACTCCAGCCTAGGCAGAGAAACCCCTGACCATGGCAGGCTCGGGCACATCACAGGCAGGGGCTCCTCTTGCTGAGCTATAGAGCAGTCCCCACACCTGCCCCCCCTTTAATTGATTAACCAGTGTGACAGGGTCAGGCCAGAAGGGTACAAGAAAGTGGTGGAAGGGGGGTATATTAGCCTTAGATTGAGTAAATCTCTGTTCCCATGGTACACTGGCAAGGCTAGTCTAAAACCAGGGGGAACTTGCCAGAATCAATCTGGGCAATTAAGTACCTGGAGCTAATTAAGTGGGCTTCCAGAGTCAAGTAAACCACAGCTAGTTGGAACACCTGGGGCCAATTAAAGACCCAGTTGAGACTGGTTAAAAAGAGATTTCTCTGCACTTAATTAGTGCATGGGAAGCTGAGAGGACAGAGGGAACTCTGCAGACAATCTAGGATGGGGTGGGCCAGATTTAGCCCACCAAACCATTTAATTCGGCCTGGAGCCTGCTCTCCCACTTCTCTGCCCCAAGGCCCATCAAGACCTGGGAGCTGGGAGAGTGAGCGAAGTCATTCGCTGTTCAAAGTGTCTGGTAGCTCCCTCCCCCTTTCAGGGGTCATGATGCCTAGAGGGAACCACCAACTGTTCAAAATGGCTGGCAGTTCCCTTTAGGCACTGCATATCTCTGGCAGGGTGTGGGTGGGAGCGAGAAACTTTGCACATTCCCCGCCTCCAGGTCTTGATTAGCGTGGGGGCAGGGGAGTGCACCAAATCTCTCCCTGTCAGGGACGCACGGCGCCTAGAGGGAACCGCCCCTTCCGCCTGAGGCCCCACCCCGAAGGGGGACAGAGCCAACCCATGACCATGAATCAAAGTTTATGACGTGGCCCCCCTCTGATAGAGGTAGCAATGTGAAGAGTGAGGGGAACAGGCCAAAGCCAATATGTGCAGGGAGCCAGCTTTTGAGCAGGCTCCACTTGCGTGCTGGCTCTGCGGACCCACCTGCCCCTCCTTGCTGCCTCCTAGAGCACCAGTTTTCCTCAGCACCAGCTCTGCTGCCTGCCCTCCCTGCCATGTTGCTGCCTCTATCAGAGGCAGCAGCGGGGAGGGGCAGGAGAGGCCCCGACCCCCCACGGACAGGGGCTGCCGCCGTAGAGCAATCTCTGTTCACGGAGAGTTCGGACCCAAGCAGACAGCTGGTCTGTGTGAGGGACTGGTTTTTAAACTGGCTCCCCCAGCAGACCAGCTCCCACCTGCCACCCTGGGCTGCTGCCTCTGATAGAGAGGCAGCAACGTGGAGTGGCAGGGGGCTCCCCAGGAGAGTGGGGCCAAGAGCACACTGCCCCCACCTCCGGAGACTATCAAGATTTCATGCGGTTACACGACTATTCAGTTACACGATAGCTAACATCCCTAGTGGGTACTAGTAGGAAGAGCCTGTGATAAGGAAAGTCTGGGGAAGTAGCCTAAAGGTTTTGTAGCTGTCTCACAGCTACTGTTGGTGATTTTTCTATACAGGTGCTTTTACTAGGCCCTGGGCTGGAACCCAAAGTAGAGGGTGGGCTCGGGTTCCCCACCATCACCCACTTCCCCATTTCCACTCAGGGAGAAGACTGCCTGGGGAAAAGAAAAGGGTTTACTTAGCCTTGTAACATTTGGGGCATTCACAGAAACTCTGCAGTTTGGTTTCCCACTATATCTCATGCTGGCCAGTGACTAGAGTAGTGGAACAAACAGCAAGCTGATACCCTAGGAATGGTGCCTAAATTGAGGGCTGCTGTGAGTCTCTGAGGCAAGCAATTCATCTGAAAGTGCAGGACCCACCAAGTTTGCGTAGGAGCTTTGTCACACCGGTTAAACATCATGTCTAACCGGTTAACCAATTAAATGGGATTTTACATACCCATTTTAATTAACTAAATGCTTCTTCTTTAACGCCTTAATTATTATTGTAATTTATTATTTGTGGTTTTGTAGCATGTAAGAGCCCCCCTAGATGAGGACCCCATTGTCACTGTAATAAACACAGAACAAAAAGATGATCCTTGCCCCACGGGACCTATAATCTCTAATATATGAGACATCAGGTGGATATAGACTGTGTAAATCATGCTAGTGCTCATGAAACAGTATTTGAAAATGCTTTTGTGAGCACAAGGAGTAGAAGATGTTTTTTTCATATAACTTGTTTTGTGCACTTAACACACAAGCACACTTACACACAGATTTTGCCAGTCCAAAATGTGCTGTGACTTGTAATGGAGAGGTAAAACTGACTCAAGGTTTAGTTAATTGTTGTCTCAAGTCTCTAAGTTCCTTCTGTATTTGGATTCCCAGGTTGTATGAAATGAAGGTGGAAGATGCTAATGAAGTGAACTGGGAAGAGCTCTGTGAGATAATTGGGTAAAAACATTTGTTTGCTATTTGGCCACAAACATGTAGTTTTTATCAGACATCTTATGTGGCTTGTGCCACAAAGGAATCCACAGATTTGAACCCATGCAGCCTCGTGTTTTCCTGTTAAATTCAATAGGATTCTGCACTTGCAGAGATTTTCACAGGATTAGACCCTAAAACTGGGGATCAGGATTGAAATATAAGATTACAGAAAGCTATTTCTTCTACCTCCCTCTTCGTACAGCCATACATATACTGCCTATGAGGCTGAGTTGTTGCTCCCTAGTTGAAGGCCTAACACCAGGGACATTATTTCTTCATTTTAGAATAATTATTGGATAATTGAACAACAATTTTGCAGTGTTTTCTTAGAACAGAATGGATGCTGTATGTAAAATTACCCAATTCTTTGGATTTAATGTGTTCAATTTTCCAGATCATACAATAGATCTGATTTCAAGGGAAAATATTTTCCACTATGAACCCCACTTACTGTTTATTACACATTAATAACATACAATGTTTGTATTGATGTATTAATGTTAAGGGATAAGAGTGAATTGGCCTATCTATTTTTTATTCTTTTGAGATCTTTATTCAGTCGTCTAAAGTCCAAAAAGACTTAAGGACACTTAGCTAACACTGTGAGAGATTGGTTAGTTGGAGCAAACAGTACCATTCTCTAGAATAGATACCTTTATAATAGTAAAACTTCCTGATAGCATGTTGGATCCCTAAATTTGAACCTTTCTCTTTTCAGAGATGTACCAGAAGCCTATGTTCAAGCAAAATTTTACAAGTTAAAAGCTACCAGTGTCCCTTCTTGGCAAAAGAAGACCTTTCCTGGTTAGTGTGTTTACGATTGCTTTGCATCAATCTTTCAGTTTTCCCTATAGAATTTGTCTAAGATCAAGCACATTCTATTATTAATATTTAATTTTATAGTTACACAATAGCACCCAGTCACTGATGTATTTCAGAGTGTTAGTCAGTCTTGTCCAACCACGGGAAACTTGGAAACTTTAGTACTACATTCCTTATAAAGCATATATCTGTGTGTACTAACATGATTATCAGTTCAAGCTTTCCCCGTTGGAGGTGCTGCTCTCAGTAGATATTCAAAATATGATCATGCGTGGTCTCTGTGCTTGGATTCCTCTCAGCAAGACCAAATATGCCCATGGGCCTCCTTTGCAATTTGGATCTGGCTTGTCCTGTATTAGAAATGTATGTCCCATTGGACTTCTTGAACTTGGCTCTCAAAAGAGGTGGTGATCTCCTTAAGGAGTTCTGCTAGGCTCCCTTGGCTTAGTTCTTTCTTGGTTTGAGGTGGGAAGAAGTGATTTTTCCAAATCCTCTTACCTATGATGCCAAAATGGTCCTTATACATTGTGCAAGTCTTCACATATTTTCTTCCCGTTCCTTTTGAGGCATGCTTTGAGGAGCCATGCAACTATTAACAATATTGACATTGAAAGTATTATCAGATTAGTGCCCACTGTCTGATATGACTTAAGGCAGGTCAGACTTCTCAGAGTTGTTGCTTTGAGCATTGCAAATGCAGTCAGCCATCAGTGTGTCAATTATATACTCAGTTCACATTTTCAAGGCTGTCAGCAACTATAACAGCTAGAAAATAAATGTAAAAAAATCCGAGATTCTGGAGAAGAAAGAGGCAGCATGAAAAAAGGTGTTGGTAGCCAATGTTAGCCCTAATGAGCACAAACAAATTACAGTCATGGAATATCAAACTGTGAAGGCGTTGAGGTTTCCCATTTAAAATATTGCATTAAATCATTTGTTTTTAAACTATCCAACATTTATATAGTACTGTTATACAAATCTATCACACTTTTAAACCAAAGTTCTTAAAACACTTACAACTAATTAAGCCCTTATAAAACACTTTGTATGAGCATCCCCATTTTACACAGGTTAAGGGATTTACTCATGTGTACATAGTGAATCATTGACAAATGAGAGGACTCAGTAAGCTGAGCTCCCAGTCCCCTAATCTGCCATTCAGCAGCATCCATCACATAATACCTTTCTGATATTAAACGAGATAAACTTCCTTTTTGAGTCTGTGATTAAGAATGTGCAAAAAATGCATGGTTAGAGCAGAAGACCAAGAGTCTAAGGATTCCTGGGCTCTATTTCCAACTTGCTGACTTGCTCCCTAAGTTTAGTCAATTTACTTCTCTTTGTTAAAGTTCTAATATCAGTAAAACAGATTTTTTTGTGGGCACATTGCAAACATTAATGTCAATATGGTACCTTGAGAATGTCTGCAAAAAGTGCACCTTATACTCTTAGCACATAAATGCAGCTGTTACTTTGTTTTTATATTATTTTGCTGGTTAAATGAACAATTCAGTTTTGCAAACCTTTGAGAGAACAGTTTGCTTATGAAAAGACCAAGATGAAATGTAAACTAAACTGGGTGTTGTGTTTGTTTCTAAAGAAATAATCGATTACCTTTATGGTGAGACACTTCCATTGCTTGAGAAAAGATTAAAAAAAAGTAAGAAGAGGCTTCAGAGCTCTGACACTCTGCATTCCAGCAACGAGAAAAAGGTTTTCCAGCTCAGTGATATCTTTGACAATGATGAAGATGATTCTGAAAGCAGTGACTGATTATCCTCCAAAATGCTCCCTTTTTGCACACTCTGCAAATGAAAAATGTATTCTAATGAAATTGGGGTTTAATCAGAAACAGAATGTACATGACCATGAAATAATGGGAAGGATGAAGACACACAAGCCAGCTCAATTGTTTTGTATTGAAGAGAGAAGTAAATATAGATATTTTTGTGCCGTATCTTTGTTATTCGAGACTTTTTAACCTTATCTTCAGATTGTTTTGGGAAGGTAATGGTAACTTTGGACTGGACTTATGAAAAAACTAAAATGCAATATTTTTTCTTAACTCTTCATTTGGTTTACTAAATTCTGTCTAACCTTATCTGAGTGAATTTCAGTTTTCAGCATTCTAATGTCAAATTAAGCTCTCTTTTAAAATCTGCCTTTTAAAAAAATCCATTTATTTTAAATCAGTAAGGATTTTTTAAAATTTGGTTTGTATAGTATTTATTTAAAAAAATGCAACCAGCTCTTTAGGTAAGTAGAGGGTACCACCAGTTTTCAGAAATAACAACAACTGTAGATAAAGCAACTTGAAATGTAATGACTAAGAATTTGTAGACTCTGTCAAACATTTCCCACCTAACTGGAATATAAATGAAATTAGTGTACGATTAGCCAGACTGCAGAGAATTGATTGCTATGTGCTAATTTACATTAGCAAATCAGTGACTGCACAGTTGCCCACACGCTTTGATCTGACTGGCCAAGACAAATCCATTTCAGTATCATCATTTATATGACCAAACTGATCTTGACACTGTAAAAATGGTCAAATAACTAAAGTTTATAAACAGATTGTATTGATCTGAAGAATGTCTCCAGAAAAGCATTCTTAAGTATCTTTATTGCATAGCCCACATTGGGCACTATAAAAGCATTAGAGTAATAATTTTTGATGAGTTATAGAACATTTCTGGGCCTTTGGTTAAAATGGTGTCTGTGTATAAAATGTTTAAATTAATTAAGGAGCCATAGTGTGGTCTCTTACATACATCATGTGGTTGTTTTGGCCTGTGTATCTTATATTTTTCTTAAAGATATTAACTTTTATGAGTAAAAATGTTTAGGTTGTTTCCTAAGGGGTTGTCTACAATTGAAAGCTGTTCTAGAAAAAGGAAGAGTATAAGTTTAGTTCAGAAAACAGGAATAATAAGACTGTTCCTGTGGCCAAGCTCTATATGTTGCCAGGTCTTTACAACTAAAATGATCTAATCATAGTTGTTAAAACCAGATGATACCCCTGTGGTCATCTAGTCAGAGCTCTAGCATAACACACACCATAGCATTTCCATGAATTCAATGATTCAGTGTAGAAAGTTATTTACCTGCTGAGACCTGAAATATTTCTCCAGCAATAGTTGATGACCCAATAACAACTTCAAGGTAATTTCAAAATAAAGTGCTATTTCAAAACGTCCCTTAAACCTTGTGGAACGAGGTTTACAGGGACTCAGGAATAGCGCTCGCATTATTTCAAAATCTATTTAAAAATAACGGGCTGTTTTAAAGACATGGGATAGCTATTTTGGGAGACTTCCAGTATGCCGAAATAGCTCCATAGTGTAGATGTAGCCTAAAAGAAGTCAGGGAGCTACACTGTTTTAGATGTTTCTGATGTTTTATGTTGGTGCAGCGGAATTATAGAAGCTTGAATTATCATTTTAGCAGCTATTTTGTTTTAAAAGTAGCTGTAATATGTCCTGCATAAATTCTTAGTAGTTTTGAATTTCAGGTTACTCTGTTTTCATCAGTTATACAACAAAAAATGGCATAGGTGCCTTTTTATTTTGTGATTATTTTTAATGTTTCTATGAAAACTAAAGTTGTACCCTTAGGATTCTCTTAAACTTTTTAATATAATGATTGCAGAGAGAAAATAGTCAACAGATCATATATTCTTTTTTTCTTAGAGAAGTATTTCTTTGTAAATACTACAATAATATGAAGGTTGGTGAAATAGATGAAAACTGTACATATGTCTTCATTTTATGATTTAATTGTTGTAAGTTAATGGCAATTTTCTATAAAATGTCAATGTAAATAATGTGATATGACTGCAAGTAAAGCTAGTTTTTGTGTAGGGATTGTTCTATAAAAGACTCATCAGAAAATGAGGATTCAAGCAGCACTGCAACCTGTTATGATATTTAGTGTATTGCTTAACTTCCAGCTCTGATTGTTAGGTGAGAATTTTCTCGCTCACTTTTTAAAAAAGTTTACAGTTCAACATCAGAAGGCAAATAAAAAGGAACCAACATGAATTAATTTTAAAGTCTCAATCATGATTTTTGACTGTCAGATTAGCAATACTATATAAATGGAGGCTGACTAATCGTGCCATACAATGATCAAATTTTAACATCTGAAAAACAGAGACGCTTGTTCTAATCATATGCACTCAGCCAGACCCAAAGGTTGTTGGCTGTGTGTGTGTGTTCTCTTTGCGTGCTGCACCAGTTCTGATTGGGTAGCCAGTATAACTGATCAAACTGCGCAGGAAGACCACAGATTCAGATCTGCAGTGAGGGCGTTCAGCCATATTTATTACCAACAAAGCACAATACCAATGCCCAAACCCAATGGTTATTAGTACAGAGTGGAGCTGACAGCCTCACTGGGCCCCTAGGCGAGGTGGGGGTTGGCTCCGTGTCCCCGGCGGGGCTTAGGGCAGAAGTGGCAAGGATGGGGCTAGCTTCTCCCAGGCAGCCTCAGCACTGGGGCTCTGGTAGTGGTTTAAAGGGCCTGGGGTTCTGACCACCACCGGTGCCACAGTTGCAGTGGCCAGGTCCCGTGGGCCCTTTTGAATCACCAGACCCTGGGATAGATGCCCCCTTTGTGCCCTCTCCACTTTGGTGTGCCTGCCAGTACACATGTATGCCTGTGATAATGGACCAATTCAAGAAGCAGTAGGACTTTCTACTCCGCCCCCGCTTCTGACCTCTCATTTGCACTGTGATACAAAGAAGTTATGTATTGTCCATCTTAACAGGGTTAGTTACCACCATTTACCTTGTATTTGTTGGTCCAACCAAATGTCTCTCTCTATCATTGTCATCCTGACCTTATTAGGAGGGGTCACGTGTCTGTTGGGAGTAAATTTGAGGTGCCATGATAGACAGTGCGACTTGGCTAAACTGGCTTTTTCCGCCAAAAGACTAATTAGAATACTATTTCAGGATTTGCACTCAGCACCAATCATTTGTTGCACTCAGTACCAAGCATCTGCTGCACTCAGCACTAATCTGCAGCACATGACACTGAGCAGGATTGCACACGGCACCATTCCCGTTTTCCTGCCAAACAGACTTTATAAGCCTGCCTCTTTGAGGGCTCGTGTTCTTCATTGGTCATCTTGATCCCTTGTGTTCAGTGGTGTGGTGAAGAAACTTGGGTCTCTGTGGCGTTCCTCAGTGCTAGCTCTAGCGAAGGCTGGGTGAAGCATCTGAGTTACATCAACTAGAGTCTGTTGAATCTCACCATCCCCGTGGAGAACCATTTCAGGCATCTCCTACCTTACCAGCTGAGTTTGTGGTGAATACCCAGACAAGGAAGAGTGGAAAAGAAGCCTTCAAGACGGGCTCAGCAGCTTGTAGCGAAAGCTCAAGGCCGCGATAGAGAACTGTTTTCCTGCCCGTCATTAACATCTTGATAACACCAGCGTGGGACTACCTAGAGATCCTCCCCAAAAGCTACGAGTTAGCTCTAGGGTTGTAGATCCTAGGCATCACTTACCTCACCATTGACTGCCATCTGAGTGTAAAGTATTTCTTTATTGTATTGGGATTATTCTTTATCTGTTTGAGACGTGGGTGGATGTGTTCAATATCAAGCGTTTGGGACTTGTTTGTTGTTGTTGTGTTTCTAAATTTTACAATATACTTACCTTTGATTTAAACATATTTGGTCTCTGGTCATTCATTCAATTACCAGTGATAGAGATACAGAGTGCCAGACAGGTCTCACTTCTGGGACACAGGCATTTAACATCATTCAGAGCCTAAATCTACTAAATTGTTCAAGGTACTGGGCCTCTCGAGTAACATGTCCCTGACTCCTCTGCGGAGAGTGTGCTGACACCATAATCTTGTGTCGAAATATCCACCAGAATCCTTCTGGAGTGTGTTTATGTGAATAGTTGGTGCCTAATAGTGCTTGTGGTTTGTTTGCAATGCCAGCCCTGTTCTTGCCAACTTCACACTGTGAATAGTGAACCTGCAAGCAGGCATCTGCTTTATAAATAGGACCTGTCTTTTACTCATAGGTGTAGTAAGATGAAGGCAAAAACATAAGCCAGTGTAGCACAGGCCTGGTCTGAGGACTAGCTAACAGACAAAACATGGCTAACATAAAGGAAAGCTAAGCTGTGAGCAAGGGAGGGGTAAGGCCCCTGCTCACAGAAACTGGCATGAACAGGGTTGAGAGTACAGAACATTAAGGCTATGTCTACACTCACAGTTTCTTGCACAAGTATGGCCGTTCTTGTGCAAGAATCCGCAGAGCATCCACACTGCCCGCCTGCTCTTACGCAAGGAAATTTACAGTACGGCGTAGTTAGAGAGGGCTTCTTGCGCAAGAGCTACACTCTTTTTTAACAGGTGTAAGCCCTCTTGCACAGGAGCTCTTGTGCAAGAGGGCAGTGTGCTCAGCAGGGATTTCTTGCGCAAGAAAACCCTATGGCTAAAATGGCCATCAGAGCTTTCTTGCACAAGAGAGTGTCCACATTGCCATGGGCGCTCTTGCACAAAAGCACAGTTCGCACATGGCAGTGTGGATGTTTTCTTGCACAAGACTTCTTGCACAAGAAGCCACCAGTGTAGACATAGCCTAATTGGTAATAGGCCCAGGTGTAGAACCATAATTGGTACTGGTCATAAGTGGAAAACACATGGTACCACTAGCTCATTAAAAAAGACCTTGGCACCCACTCCTTACAAATACAGGCCCAGGTTCAGGAATGGGTCTAAAATGACAGCATGATGGATAGACATGATCTAATCAAACCACGATGTATAGAGTGATGGGTGGTATCTAAGTAGCATCACAGGGTGTCATCCTGATATGTCAACAGTGATGTGAAAGTTGTTTGTACCTGTATATAAAATGGTGTCTTAGGGAGACAGTCTTTGTATGACTTAGGGGGCAGTGGAAATTTCTCACTGATTGAGTCATTCCATTGTTATGGGGTACATATGCATTGTGGGTCAGTAGAGTCTACTGACAACTATTACTGTACTTTGCTTAACAATAAACCTGGCCAGGCCCCTTTGATCCTTATCTGGTTTGTGGTATTTGGGGGCTCTCTTGGGATTTGCTGTGGAGACTAAGTGCACAAGTCAACACGGCACACATCACTGAGCACACACGCAAGCAGCCTTCTGATTATCATCATCAGCGGAGCCAGAGACCTGTGAGGAAGCCTTGGCAGTAAATCCTGGCTGCCACCTGAATAATTGCAATACGCTGACTCTTGCTAACTTTGCTTTCTAGCATCAGGGCCTGACTTTTGCTTATTTTAGTTCAGCCTTAGGCCTTGTACCAGATCCTACATTTCAGGATCATTCTACTATGTACCCCCCCATGCTTTTTATGGAGAGGATGGCTTACCCGCCATCCTGGAAAAGCAGACTGCATGGACTGAAGATGACCCGGTGGGCTAACCACTGTTATATGACCACGTTATGGGTGCGTCTAGACTATATTCCTCTTTTGAAAGAGGAATGTAAATAAAGGAAATCGGAAATGCAAATGGAGCGCAGATTTACAAATCTCGTGCTTCATTTGCATAATCATGTCCGATCGCTTTTTCGAAAGGTTATTTTGGGGGGAAAAAAGTCTAAACACGGTTCTTTCAGGGAAAAAAAAAACCTTTTTGAAAGAACCCAGTAAACCTCATTTTTTCAGGAATAAGGGTTCTTTTGAAAAAGGTGGGTTTTTTTTTTAAAGAACCGTGTCTAGACTACTTTTTTTTTAAATAACCTTTTGAAAAAGCGATCGGATGCAATTATGCAAATGAAACTTGAGATTTGTAAATCTGCGCTTCATTCGCATTTTTTATTTCCTTCATTTACTTCCTCTTTTGAAAGAGGAATGTAGTCTAGACATACCCTATGTTACCATCCACAGCAAAAGTAGGCACTAATTTTTTATGGGGTGCCACTCCCAAGATTTTGGTCAAGAGCTGCACTTTTCTATACAGAGTGTGCAGTGCCCGGGAGGAAGGCTGAATGCAGAAGGGAGTTTGGGGTAGGGAATTGCGGTACAGAAGAGGTTGTGGGGTCTGAGAGGGAGTTTGGGTGAAGGAAGGGGTTGTAACCTGGTGCAGGGTATGAGAGGGGCTATGGGTGCAGGAGAGGATTCTGGCCTAGGGGAGGAGAAAGGTGCAGGTTCTAGGAGGGAGTTGCAACCTGGGCCAGAGGGGGTTGGATTGTGACCTGGAGCAGGAGGGTACCTGGGACAGGGAATTGGGGTGTGGGCACAGAGAGGCACGTGGAGCAGCCAGCCCCTTTGTCATCTGGGGCTGTTCCCTGCCTGAGGGTCCCAGTGGGGCAGGCTGTGGGCTAGATTCAAACGCTTGGCAGACTGGTGGGCCAAATCTTGCCTGTCCCTGATCCACACATTTATGCTCCTCTGTCCCTGGATCTGTACATTCCCATGTAGGGGCAGTGGACAGATTTTGTTTTCTAATTGTTTTTAGTCTCTATGGTGGATCTGGGAAAGTTAGATCCAGGACTTTGATGGAGGAATGTAGTTTTATAGTTCTGAAATACAGGATTGGGCATTATTACAAGTTCCTCATATAATACATATGCATACATTGCCTTGTATATTAAAAATGTATACACTTGGACTGAGGTGTAGATGGACATAGGAGACAGACTTGTTGAGAGTCTCTGGGTTAGGTTAAAAGGGGTAAAAAAACAAGGGTGATGTCATGCTAGGGGTCTACCACAGATCACCTACCCAGGCAGAAGAGGTAGATCAGGCTTTTTTAAACTAACAAAATCATTCAAAGTGCAGAATTTGGTGGTGATGGAGATTGTAACTATCCAGACATAGGTTGGGAAACTAACATAGTGGGGCACAGATTATCCAACAAGTTCTCGTACTGCATTGGAGACCATTTTTATTTCAGAAGGTTGAGAAAGCTACTGAGGGGAAGCTGTTCTTGATTTGATTTTAACAAATAGAGAGGAACTGGTTGAAAATTGGGAAGTGGAAGGCAGCTTGGATGAAAGTGATCGTGAAATCATAGAGTTCATGATTCTAAGGAGTGGTAGAAGGGAGAACTGCTAAATAGTGATAACGGATTTCAGGAAGGCAGATTTTAGTAAACTTGAGAGCTGATAGGTTAGGTCCCATGGGAAGCAAGACTAAGAGGAAGAACAATTGAAGAGAGTTGGCAGTTTTTTAAAGGGACATTGTTAAGGGCTCAAAAGCAAACTATTCCACTGTGTAGGAAAGATAGAAAGTATGGCAGGAGACCACCTTGGATCAACCAGGAGATCTCACATGATCTAAAAATCAAAAAGGAGTCTCATAAAAAGTGGAAACTAGGTCAAATTTCAAAGGATGAATATAAGCAAACAACACAGGTATACAGGGGCAAGATTACAAAGGCAGAGGCATAAAACAAGCTAAATCTAGCTAGAGACATAACAGGTAATAAGAAGACCATTCTACAAATACATTAGAAGCAAGAGGAAGACCAAGGACAAGGTAGGCCCATTGCTCAGAGAAGAGGGAGAAAGTAGAACAGAAAATTTGGAAATGGCAGAAGTGCTTAATGACTTTTTTTGTTTCAGTTTTCACCAAGAAGTCTGAAGGTGACGGGATGCCGAACATAGTGAATGATAGTGGAAATGGGGTAGGTTTAGAAGTTAAAATTAAAAAAGAACAAGACAACAATTACTTAGAAAAGTTAGATGTCTTCAAGTCACCAGGGCCTGATGAAATGCATCCTACAATACTCAAGGAGCTGATAGAGGAGGTATCTGAGCCTTTAGCCAACATCTTTGAAAATCATGGAAGTTGGGAGAGTTTCCAGAAGACTGGAAAATGGCAAATATAGTGTCCATCTATAAAAAGGGAAATAATAACAACCCAGGAAACTACAGACCAGTCAGTTTAACTTCTATGCCAGGGAAGATAATGGAACAAGTACTTAAGGAATTCATCTGCAAACATCTGGAAGAAAATAAGGCGATAGGAAACAGCCAGCATGGATTTGTAAAGAATAAATCATGTCAAATCAATCTGATAGCTTCCTTTGATAGGATATGAAGGCTTGTGGATAAGGGAGAAGCTGTGGATGTGGTATATCTAGACTTCAGTAAGGCATTTAACATGGGCTAGTGTGACCTTATCAATCAACTAGGGAAATACAACCTAGATAGGGCTATTATAAGGTGGATGCATAACTGGCTGGATAACTGTTATCAAAGAATAGTTATTAACAGTTCACAATCATGCTGGAAGGACGTAACAAGTGGGGTTCCTCTGTGGTCTGTTTTGGGACTGGTTTTGTTCAATATCTCCGGCAATGATTTAGATGATGGCATAAAAAGTAGTTTGCAGATGATTCCAAGCTGGTTGCAAGTGCTTTGGAGGATAGGGTCAAAATTCAAAATGATCTGGACAAACTAGAGAAATGGTCTGAGCTAAATAGGATGAAGTTTAATAAGGACAAATGCAAATACTCCACTTAGGAAGGAGCAATCAATTTCACACATACAGAATGGGAAGGGATTGTTGAGGAAGGAGTACTACTGAAAGGGATTTAATGGTGATAGAGGACCACAAGCTAAATATGAGTCAACAGTGTGACGCTGTTGTAAAAAAATCAACCATGATTAACAGGAGTGTTGTGAGCAAGACACGAGAAGTCATTCT